CATAAGCTGTTTTCGGTGTCCCTCTTTCAGAGAACTCTCGAACTGTAAGGCTTATACAAAACTGTCCAGAAGATTTGGATCTGAGAGGGAACTTTTGTAAATAAAGAGCAGGCGTAGAAAACATTCCTAGCAAAAGTTGAATTTTTCTTAGAGAATACCTACTCCCTTAAAGGAGAAATTAAAAAACTGAAAAAGGAAAACAACCAAAAAGAAGTTAGTCACTGACATAAATATAATCACGCTCCATCCATCCATAAAGGAACCACAATATATATATATATACAACTAAATCTAGCGAAAAAAGCTGCGCAATCACTGCTCCCCCAGGCAGTACGCCAAAGTGTTTATCTTGCGAGATGCTTCAGTGCATCCAGAAGATCCTTCACGTTCCCGCTAAAGCCACTTTTGGCTAAACACCAAGTTACAGTTGGCAACTTTTCAAAATGTGGGGGTCGAACCATAGCGGTTTGAAGGCTCCAGGCAATGAAAATTATCTTTTATTTGACAGTTAATTACCATCTTATCCAGCTAAGGGGCGTTCATCTTCGTTTTTCTAGTCGTAATGCTACTGTTTGTTGTGCGGATTGAAGTATTAACAGTAGAAATGACTACGAGTAACAGACACTCAACAAAGTGGTCAGGTGAACAGGCATGTGTTAAAAGTAGAAATACTCTCACATTTCTGAGGAAATTTAAGCAGGAAAAGAGCTGAAGAGAAAGGCATTGAAAAAAATTAAGTAAGTTGGGCATTGATAAGCAGAGTATTTTGGGTAGCGTAAAGGTGAAAGGAGTTTTCAATTTCTTCAGTATATTCGGTCACAGTTTGAAGGACTGTTGCTGATTAAAGACAGCATGTAACTTAAATGTGATAGGGCACATTTACTTCAGATGCGTTTCTTTTTTTTTGATTTTAGTTAATTGAAGATGTAATCATATTGGGCAGTGAAATTACCATCTCGCGAAAACGGGTTAGTGATATGGGACTTTTAATCGCTGACGGCGGATACGCATGAAAACAAACCATTCTTTAAGTTACAGGAGTCTACCAACCGTGTTCCTAGCTAGGCTGTATAGATGTCTGTAAGATGGAAACTAGATTGTACGTTAACACCAAATCGTGCTCCAGTAAATGAATATCGACTTCTTATCTGTTGTAAAATCCTTTTTTTATTTGTTTTTCATATTCCAGTGATAATTCAGATCCAAGTTGACCTGGAAATTTCGCTATTTTGGCTGCTTATGAGTGTTGGTCGTTGTGCTTTACACTGCGGCACTTTCTGTCATGCGCTGTTTATTAGAAAGCTCATATTAAATTTGGCTTTTGACTTGTAGTGAAATAGTATTAAGGCATTGCTTGGCTTTGATTATTGTCAGCTTTGATTATTATTTTGATTATTGGTTGACCATCTGATATACAGATTTTTGAGTAGTTGGGTTATTTGCGTTTCTTTTTGCAGTACTCGGTTTTTTTATTATTATAGCATTTATTTGACGTTCTGTGGTTATATATGTATTATATGTCTTTTACGTTGAGAATTATTCTGGTCAATAAGGTTACTTTCAAAGGAAGCCATGAAAATCTGCAATCTTGGTTGCACCGCTGAAATTCTGTACTTTTCAACTCAGTATAAACAGTTTGCAGTGATAGCTGAAATAAAATGGAGTTGCACTGAGACTCTGAAATTACTTTGTTAGAGAGCACTTTCAGTAATCACAAAAACCAAATCAATTGACTATGTGGTGAGTGATTGCAGAGGTAAGAGCGAGGTGAAGTACATCATACTAATCACCGCAAGAAATGTGTCTGCTAAACTTTGATATCTCAGAGTTACATTTTCGTCTTTCCTTAAAATTTACTTCACTTTGAATCCTGTTAAGGTTTCAGGGAAGTTGTCTAAAACAATCATTATTAAAATCGTTCGGAGCCATTTTGGTGGTTCACGAACTAGTTTGGTCAGGTTAGTAGAAATTTACGGGGAGGAGTTTGCCACGAAGTCGAAATTAGCAGGAGGAGCTTAAGTTAGTTTCTGGCGAAGGGGGAACATCTGATGAACGGTCACTGCAGTGTAATCATTTTAATTTTTTTCTTGTTATGCACAGAACTATTCTCTTCTTTATGCCTTTCGCTATATATAACGCTGGAAAAGGAATTGGAAAAGTTTGGGATGGAAGCATGTTGAACGTTGACGGATGGTGAAAAAATCGCGTTTAGGATTTTTCGAAAGATGATTCGATGGGGAACATCAGCGGTTTACTTCAGAACACGTTTACTTACTGCCTTCCAGGAGGGATTTTTAGAAATATGCGGACGAAAAATGTGCAGTACTGCGAATATACCAAGGATTTTGAGCAGGTTTCTCGGTATCTCCAGGTGGTCTGTTGAGGAGTCACCTTAAGTTCGCGTGACTCGTTGAGTCAGTACGAGTTATGCGAATGAATAATGATGATGCATTTCCACGGCGGTGGCTTTAATTGGAGTCTAACAGACATATTTTGCAATATAGGTTTTGACATCGGGGGCATTTTGAAAGTTGTAGTTGTATAGATGTACTATACCGTATTTTTTAGTGCCGGACTTCAAAACTGATAGAGCAAAGAAAATCTGTTTGTAGCCGCTTTAATATCTTTAGGTTTGTATGGTACCGATTCGTATTCTGATAGTTCTGCCAAAATTGGTACTTGAAGAAATACTGGAGGTGTCACAAAATTCAAGGATGGATCTAAGATATTTTATCTCATCGATGATTTTCTGTTGACGTTGCCCGTCAGTCTCTGCGCTCTTGGTTTTTATGCCTTTTTTTCTTTGCTTCTGTACGGCTTTTTTCAAATCTTTGTTTTAAAGGAGTGAAGACAATGTATTTTGTTTTATCCTGCAACCTCTACGTATTTTGACGTTTTAAAACTTTGTTTCTATTTTTTTAGTGATGCTTAGCCATATTGGAAGTAAATTAATGCATTTATTTCGTTGCCATTTCAGCAAACCCGGTCTCTTTTTGTTGGTACTACAGCAGCAAAATTTTTCATTTCAAAAAAATGGGGTATTAGTCTAAGCGGCTTATTTTAAATAGCTGATTTTACTGATGGTAATGCTGTACCATTCAATACGTAATTAATATGTAATCACTTGCTTGTTCTAAGCCATTCTAGATCTCATTTTCTGCTTCTCGTCTAGGCTCATGTAGTGAACAAGTAATTCTGCTCAGCGGAATGCCGAATTTCTGAGTTGCTACCGGTATTCGTCTGAATTCGTTTCTTTTAGATGCTTGCAGAACCCAGCAGTGTGTAGGCCAGGGTCATTTATTATCTTCAAATTCCTCATGATGCACCTTTCTTAGTAATGAGATACAACCAGCAAAGATCCGGACCAGTTTTAGAGAGAAGCCTGCTTACTTTTGTGGATTGCACTTTGTCTTTCAGAGTCGTTAGGTTGAGGAAACTCAAATTCCGTTTCAATATGACCATGGGATGGATAATGCCTTCGCCTATTCCTGACGCTCGTGGGCACGTATATCTTCATAGTGGTTGCACTGATCCTTTGCTTGCTAAAATATCATAGTGAATTTTTTTATTTGCGTTTTGTTCATGCTGAAATCCCCAAGCTTTCAAGATGTCTGGATTGTTTGATAGTGCAAAAGCTGTAGTCAACTTGAATTCGCATACTTTGCACTGTTTAGTTTTGAACTCACAAAATAGGAATTTTTATTGATTTTTCCAAAAAATCTATTTCCTTTTCTACAAATTGTTTTTCAACTGTTTCAATTTTTTTTTTTTTTCGAGAATACTAAAACTTTATTTTTGATGAACTAAATTTTTGGAAAGATTAAAACTTTATCTTTCATGCAAAATAAGTGAGTGATAACTTGAAAATGCAGTTTTAGGAATATAACAGGAATACAGAATGGAAAGAAGGTACAGCTCAGGTTCTGAAAATTTAAGAAATTTATAATTCAGTAATCTAAGCACCTAAACACTCAAATACACACGTTTTTTGAGCCAGGGGCTAATTTTAGGTATTCAAGTTATAATTCGGACACTCATAAGTTATTGGAGTAAGAAAGGTTAGGAAGGAGCACCTTCGTGCTTTACAATTATTTTACTTTTGTGCGCTATAACTAATTTTATGTCGTTAGCTTTTGTGGGACTTATAGGCTGACGTTTGTCACTAGAATGAGAGACTCGGCATATGGTGTCTTTGATAGCAATTCAAAGCTGTAAAGTTTCTTGCGCCTTCACTTCCGCTTCTCATTACGTGCGTCAAAACTACCTCTACCTTTTTTTTTTTTTTTTTT